CTAGGAGGCACAACTTATATGGATAGTATTTATTTTTTACAATAACAAGCTGGAATAAAAACAAGTAAAAATGAAACAAAAGTAAAAACTTTTTACTTTGTGCCTTTTTAAAAAAATGTAAGGAGTAGAAAGTACAGATAACTGTGTGAAAATGTAAGTAGAAGAAGTAAAAAGTAGGCAGAAAAATAATTACTCAGGTAAAGTAAAGATGCCCAAAACTTATACTTAAGTACAGTAACAAAGTATTTGTAATTAGTTACTTTACAACTTTGCATCTCAGTTATTCACTAACACTGATTAACACAAGAATGCTTCTGTCGAAAGAAAACAAGAAATTAAACAATGTTTTAACATTCACCAGCAAGCTTTACACTGGTGGCACAGACTGCATTAAAATCAGTCTAATCAGTGCTTTAAATCACATTCATACTACACATACACATGCATTTATTTATATGTAGCCTAATCATAAATATTTGATATTTTCTTTATAATATTGTATAATCATTATTTTGTCATTTATACTTCTTTATAATTTGTTATTGTATTGTGTTATCTAATATATTACCGTTAACCCCACTAACAGTATAAGCTGAGCCATGTGTCCTTACACATGTACCTATGTTAGCTGCATGTATAAGATTTGCAAAAACAAAAAAAGCTTGAAAATCAGTGGATTATTCAATTCTATTGAATTCAGTTTATTTGTATAGCACCAAGTCAGAGCGTATGTTGTCTCAGGGCACTGTACACAGAAATCAAACTAAAGAAACCAGCAGATTGTGTTGAATCACTTCATCACAGTCTCCATCCTGAGCAGCACACTGGTGACAGTGGAGAGGAAAAACTCCCTTTAAACAGGAAGAAACCTCCAGCAGAACCAGAACCAGGATCAGGACAGGCGGCCATCTGCCTCGACCGGCTGGGTTTGAGGGACAGGAAAGAGACACAGGAGGACTGGTCCAGGTGTATTTTCCTCTGGAAGAGACAAAGAAAACACATTATTGATAGAAGTATTTAAAACAAACATGTAGAGGAGAGAGACCAGTGGTGGAGAAAGTACTCAAACACTGTAAGTAAAAGTACAGATAAACAGACAAGAATGTACTCTAGTAAAAGTATCACATTAACATTTTACTTGAGTAAAAGTAAGTAAGTGCTTACTTTTAAAAATACTTAAAGTATTAAAAGTAAAAGTACTTGCTTAATGTATTCCCTAATGGTCTACAATATCATGAAGTGTGTGTACTGTATGTATATTTTAATACATCAAAGGTGCCATTTTAGGTAACAATGCTGCAGATAATGCATGTTTTTGTGTTTACACTCTGTGACACTGTTTACACTTGGACTTGTGATTCTGTGCATCATCACWTATTGTGACAACAGCTGCAGAAGACGTAAATTCACCACCAACCTCCTCTATCAAATCTCAACAAGTCATTTTTTGAACCAGTTAAATAAGGCCATGAATGGCACGTTTCCTCCGTGGTGGAAACCATTGTGGGCCTGCTGCTGCTCTGCTTTTTTATGGAGGAGGGTGTGATGGTACTTTCCTGCTTTGTTCAATGGACCATTTACAGCAATTCCCCCTCTCGCCACTGATTATTTTCTAACAAAAAAATCAAAAAACCACAAATAAAATAAAATAAAAATAAATCAACGTGACATGAATGTACTTTGTAATTCAACGCATTACAGAAACGTAGTTGAGTAGAAAGTACAGATACTTAATGTAAAATGTAGTGGAGTAAAAGTCAAAAGTACCCATGATGAAATATACTTAAGTAAAATACAGATGCATGAAAAATGTACTTAAGTACAGCAAGAAAGTACTCGTATTTGTTACATCCCACCACTGAGAGAAACTAAAGACAGCAGTGGGAGGACATGTGCTCAGTTTGTCCTCCAGCAGTTATAGCAGCTGAACTAAGGAATAACTCAGAAAACCTAAGCCTCAAAGGCGTAGAAAGCGCGGGGACATTGGAGAAAGGCGCATTTGTCCGGAGGAGAAAAATACTTGATTTAGAAATTTTTAACTCGCGTGCTTTTATTTTGAAGGCGCCACACAGCGTCATTTCACTGCGYTCCCGCCTCCCTCTGAACGGCTCTGCTGCTGCAGCGGGAGTCAGAAACTCTTTGGAATGAGGTAAAACTGTCTGCTGCTAATGTTGCTCTGAATTGTTCTTGTTTGTAACGTCTTGTTGTCAGTTTRCTTTCATACAGAAACTGAATCTTATTGATTCAATCATTTTAATCCAGGGACGCTCGCTCGTCCATATTTAACTGCTAACTTTGTTTACAAGTTCACGCTAGCTAAGGTGTTTATCACTTTTCACCACAAAGTCACCACCTGCTAAAAGCAGCAGGACTTTGTCTTTTTTTTTAAAAAGAAAAACGGGAATAATAGTTACACAACATAAGGGCAACACCTAGAACCATGGCAAAACTCAGCTGATGGTAGTTTATCAACATGCATGAAACCATATTAGATATTATTTCTGTGTAATGATATCTTATCAGGAGAATCATGGTAGTAGCCTAATTAGAGTAGTGAGACATTTGAAGCAATGAAAGGCGGAGGAAGCTCAGGCAAGGTTTAAATTAGTGAAATATATATTCGTTATTACTTTTTAAACAAATATATTTTATCATGAGAAGAACTGGTTCAGAGAAAAGAATGGAGAGTCAGAGAGAACAGCTGAGGACTGATGTCAGGTGATTTTTTTCATTATTTCAACACTTACTGTAAGTGTTAGGTTATGTTTTGATAGCATACGAGAAGTATACATCTGTTAATCAGTTTAAATATCTGTATGATCAAAACCTTTTTTAGCTTCTGTAAGTCTGCTGGTGTTCGTTACATGCAGTGTTCTCTGTTGTAAACATGTTGATGCCACGCAGGGACATCAGAGGCAGGAAGAGTGAGGGAGAAGCAGGAGCAGACCAACAGGTAAGAGAGGAACACAACAGATATTTTATATCAGAACATCTTGTAATGGCAGTAATATTTGTAAATATTGCAATGATGATATCAGGTGTGAATGAAGTTTTTTTTCTCTTTTCTTTCTTTCTAATATGTACTTCCTACTCTATGTGACTTTTAGTATTTTTGGTAAAGTCATTTGTGTCTGCTGTGAGACTCTGTCCTACAGGCTAAATATTGCATTAACATGAAAAATACAACTTCAAAACTCTTTAAATACATTATTACGGCACTCCAAGCATTCCTTTGCAATATACAGCGGGTAAAATAAATATTGAACACGTCAACATTTTTCTCAGTAAATATATTACTAGAGGTGCTAATGACATGACATTTTCACCAGATGTCGCTTAGGGGTGTAAGAAAATATCAATACACTGAAATATCGCGATATTTCAATTCCCGATACTGT